GACCCCGGGACACCTCGACCCTCCAGGCCCGGCCTCTCGCCTCTCCCTGCCCAGCCCCGGACTGAGGAGCAGAGCCTCCCGAGACCGGGCAGTCCTGGGGAGTGCGTTTGCCACACTCTAGGCCAACAGTCTGGGGGCCAGCTCTCCCGAACCCCGCAAACGCTCCTTCCGGGAAGGAGTCAGGGGCAACAGAGGGGCCCCAGTACAACGTGAGAAGAGGAACTGGCGCCAAAAGGGAGGGGGGGGAGGTGCATGACACCTGTTGCCCAAAGCAGGACTTCGAAAGCAGAGACGGACATGTCCCAGCATAGAACCAGCACCCACGTAGGGAGGAAAGGACTCACAGGGTTGAGAGCCCTGTGAAAGGGGGTGGGGGCAGAATCCAGAAAAGCCTGCCGGCCGGTGTCTGACATGAGACGTGAGGGTGGGGAGCGAGGACTGCCTGCTCTGCAGACTTCCCTGAGAAGGGCCCGCGCTGGCCTGTGCTCAGGACACCCTGCACTGCCACCGCACCTCCCGTCCGCACCTCCCGTCCGCTTCCCTCCCGCCGCCGGGCAGAGCAGGCCGACCTCTGTGGTGCTCGTTACTCACTGACCCAGCATAGAACCAGCACCCACGTAGGGAGGAAAGGACTCACAGGGTTGAGAGCCCTGTGAAAGGGGGTGGGGGCAGAATCCAGAAAAGCCTGCCGGCCGGTGTCTGACATGAGACGTGAGGGTGGGGAGCGAGGACTGCCTGCTCTGCAGACTTCCCTGAGAAGGGCCCGCGCTGGCCTGTGCTCAGGACACCCTGCACTGGCACCGCACCTCCCGTCCGCTTCCCTCCCGCCGCCGGGCAGAGCAGGCCGACCTCTGTGGTGCTCGTTACTCACTGACTTTGCTGGCTAACTCGCTTCTACATGAGACGTGAACTGTGCAGGTTCTAAAGAAGCAAAAGGCAGGGCATGCCCTAAAGGCCCTACATGGACTAGAGGTGCTGAAACCAAAGTACACAGAGGCCTCCACAGGCCAGACCCCTCCCTCAGCCTCTCTAACCCCCCTAGCAGCTCTGCATTATCATCCTGTTCCCCAGATGAGGAGTGTGAGGCTCAGGGTGAAAGTGCCAAATGACGAAGGTCATAAGACTAGAGGGGACCTGGCTGAGTTTTAGACGCAGGCACCCTGCCTCCAAAGCTGGAGCCCTCATGCACCCTTTCAGCAAGCGCTCTCCGAGATGTCTGTGTCCAGCCTGACAGGCGCAGCGTGGGCAGCAGGGAGTCTCGGTAGAAGTAGCTGGAGCTCAGCCCTGAATGAGCAGAGATAAGAGCTGGCACATCTGTGAGGCGGGACTGTGTGTGCCCCGTCTCCAGCCTCGCTGACTATGTGGGCTATGGCGGGAGAGGCGAGCCCATGCTCACTTGCCAGCCAGTGGCCAGCGTCTGCACCTCTGCCCTCTCGAAGCTTTTCCTCCTGTAAGGGGTATGGGAGGTCTACACACTCACACTCCATGTCAGAGCAAGAGGGAAAGCAATAGTTTCCTAAAAGTGTAAAAGGTTAGGAAACAATGGTTTGTAGATCCAATATATCAGTAGCTAAAACCACTCTTCAGGACAAAGGACATAGTGTGATGCTGTAAGGTGGGGAGACCAACCCACCCATGAGGTGTCAGATTCCCCCCTCTAACAGTAATTCTTCTCCATCGAAGGCAGTTCAATGGGGAATAGGATGGAGGACTGTCTGTGCACCAACACTCATTCCGCATCACTACCGTCCTTTGTTTAAATGCCAAGGCTCACAGGAGGACCTGAGTAGAAACCAGCCAACGGCAAGAGGACTGTCCCAGACAGAAAAGGCCGTTAGAAGATTGGGAGGCGCTGATGGAGGTTTCATGGGGGAGGATTTGGGGGAATAAGGACAGAAGGACAGAAACAAGGAGTCTGATTCCAGGGATGAAACTCAGAATTGATTATGTAAAAATGGGAGGAATAGAAGGATCTGCTTATAGGATAAGAGAACACAGAAGGGGCAATACTATAACCTGTTCACCCCTACCACTTCCAAAAGATGACTAGAGGGGTAAGATGAAGGAGGTGAAAATTATTCCAGGAAACTGCCCTCCACAAATCATGCCCAAGATAACCTGAATTTTTTTCCAATTTGGAAAGAATTCATGCTCTGAACTTCAGACAGATCTTGGCTTGAAACCATCAGAAGTAAAAGACATGTTTTAAATCACTGTTATTTCTATTTTCCCCCTCCCTTCCTCTCAACATTTCCCACTCCCCATGGAGACCCAGAAACTCAGCTCCTCAAGATCAAAGAAAGGAGAAAAGATGAACACAATCGTTATGAGCAATGTGTGTGAAGTGGAACTTTTCATTTTGGAAAAACGGATATAAATAAGTTCAGTTAAAACACACTCACATTTGGTCAAATCTGTCACTGGTCCTGGCTAATCGGCCTAAGCATCCTTCCTGGCGCCTATGTGAGAAGGCCGATGGCTGTCTGGAGGGGACTGTCTTGTGGACGGGTCAGGCCGAGGGCAGGACTAGTGATTTCTATGGAAATGACAGGGGAGAGGAATCTGGCTCACTTACCAGAGAGCCTGTATGACCGAGTTCCCCTCCCTGGGGACTTGCGGCAGAATCCAGATGGCCCTGGCAGGTCAGATGCTACAGAAGAGCACAGTGTTGGGCAGCCCACCACAGCCTGCCACTCCATTCTCAGGCAAGCCCTTCTTGCTCAGCGCTTCTGTAGCTTCCCCTCACATATCAAACTAGGGAGATAATCCCTCTCTTTCCTCCTCACAACAATGTGGTGACACAATACAACAGCCTGGACACTTCATATAACGTAAGCACTATGTCAACACAGCACAGCCCCATGGTACTCCACGTGTGCCGAAGTACTCGCAGGCCTCCCAGGAGGATGAGGGCCACAGAGGCATCCTGGGAACCACGTCTACCGAGGGACTGCTGTGACCCCAGTTCCAAGCAATAACTGACACCAGGAATCTGCTGGGCGAAGCTGGGAGAGGTGGCATCCCCCCTGAAACCTGGTCCTTCTATAGGAGAAACCTGGCCTCAAAGAGAGCTCCCCAGGCATCAGACCACAGAAGGAACAACTCAGGACCAGGGACTCCACCCAGACCTGCCTGCCCCATCCTCGGGCCATTAGGGAAATCAGGGACTCCTAAGGCAAGGAAGGAAGGAGGGGGTAAAACTGAATCACAAGTACAGGATTTTCAGCTTGCAAACGACCGTGTTATGGTGCCAGCCCCGCCCAAGTGTTTACATAGTTAGATGGAGGGATTCTCTACTAGAGGGATGCTAGAAGCCAAGCTTCCTGCCCCTCACCCAGGCCACCATACCCCACTGTCTACCAAAATTCCCAACACCTCTCCTTTCTCCCAATACTTTCTCCTTTGCTGTCACTGAGAAACGCATCTTGGCCCAGGTAAACTGGAGTCCCAAGAAGGAACGGGCAGGAGGTGAGAAGGTAACTCTGAACAGGTCTTCTGTAGGCGGGTACAAAGCCTGTGAAAATATAAAGGGCTAAGAGATGGCAGTTAGAAAAAACTGTCATCTTCAAGGGCAGGAGAGAAGACTACAAGGAAAGGCCCAGTGCGCACTCCAAGAATGGAGCTCCATCTCCTAACCAGACACGTGGCCCTGAGGCCTGGGGACGGAAATTCCTCCCCACTCTTGAAGGGGCACCTTGCACACAGAACCCATCTAAGTCCCAATACCTTCCCACAACTTGATGGCCCCAGGTATTTAATAACAACAAGATGAGACACAGTCAGGGTAGGCTTTTAATTGAGGCCATTAAGGCTTTGCCAGCACGCTAATTCAATAAAAGAACAGAGCTTTTCTCTATGTAACAGTTACACAAGCATGTCAAACGATGTCAGTGTCACTGTGTTACATGTACATGGCCCTGGACACTTGTCAAAACCTATCATTCCTTTGCTCCTTGTAACAGCCTGTGAGGGGCCTGGAAAGCTGGTTATTCCCATGTTGCAGGTGAAGAGGGCACGGCAGAGGTGAACCAACATACGTATCTAGGGCTGTACAATAAGAGAGCAAGAGCTAGGACACAAATCCTACTGATGCCCACGAGGTTTCACAGCCTAAACTCCCTCGTAGGGGAAGGAGGAGAGGCAGTTTAGGAGGTTTCCTAGACCATCTCCAACCCACTCTCACCGCAGTTCTACTCAGCTCCTCAAACATAACAGCCTGCCCTGCCTGGGTAATCCACACCAGCCTCGTAGTTTGGCCCCAACTGACTTGGAATCCTACCATCTCTGTGTTGGAAAGGTCCTTACGGGTCCTCTAAGCCAACCGCCCTTCAGAGGGCTGAATTCTTTTCATGTTCTCCTTGGCCTAACCTCATAATTGCTATTGCTGACCACCCCTCACAGGTCCTCCTTCCCCGGGAGGAGTGGCTGGGAACAGGCCTGCACCCCGAGAGTGAGGGAGGAGAAGCTTCCTGTTGCCCAGCCCAGCAGGGCACTTCCTGAACGGCAGCATCCCCACACTGGCCCCACTCCACACTTTCTGCAAAGGAGCAGCAAGACACACAAGTGGAAAACGAGAAAGGAGACTTACCTTTCTTCTCTTCTCTCAGCTGCTCCCCTGGAGATCCTCACACCCCATCCAGCACTCCATTTCCAAAACTGAGACTCCCAAACCGGAGACACCAAACAAAACGCAGCTTCTCTCTGATCCGCGTCCAAAGTCCATGGCTGAGTGTCCTCTGAGGGGGAGGAGTCTGGGGGGGAAGGGGCAGGTCCGGACCCCTCCCCCCCCACTGCGGGCGTCAGTGTCCCTCCCAGGCGTCTGGTATGGCCCTTCATTCAGCTGGCTTCTCAGGCCCAGATCCTGGTGGTAGGCGGGTCCCAGCTACTATCCCATCTCGGGCTCAGGGAGGGGAAGTCATCCACTGTGAACACAGGCCCCTCTGTCTCCTGCTGGGGCTCCTGAGAAGACACAGGCCTTCGAACCGGCATGGCCCAGGCGGCTGCCTCCTGCGTTAACCTGCAGAAGATTTAAACATTACAACACTTCCTAATCTATTCTACTCCCAAGTGGATTCCCAAGGCTTCCCACCTAAATCAGAGCCCTTGATTACGCTCTGCCTCACACACTCCACAACATACACAAGGTACCTTCTCCACTCACATACGGCCCCACTGCCACCCCCTCGGTATGGCTCAGGATAAGGCACCTACTCTCACAACTGAAAAGCGGCCAGAAGCACTGACGGGCGTGTGGGGACTGCCTTCCCAGAAACGTGGACAAGAGCCTGCCCTCCCGTCCTGCCTGGTGGGTGCTGCACTGATCGCCCTGCATCTCGCAGGCTCTTCAAGGTGTCAGCGCTCAAACCACCGCTCTCCGCGACGGAGCTCCATCCACTCGGACCTTCCACTTGCACTCTGCAACCTCACCTACATGCAACTCTGCAACCTCACCTCACGTGCACTCTGCAACCTCACCTCACATGCAACTCTGCAACCTCACCTACATGCAACTCTGCAACCTCACCTCACGTGCACTCTGCAACCTCACCTCACATGCAACTCTGCAACCTCACCTACATGCAACTCTGCAACCTCACCTCACGTGCACTCTGCAACCTCACCTCACATGCAACTCTGCAACCTCACCTACATGCAACTCTGCAACCTCACCTCACGTGCACTCTGCAACCTCACCTCACATGCAACTCTGCACCGCCACCCCCCCACCCCCTCTGCTTCCAAAACTGCGCCGGGGATGTAACTCCTCATCGCTGTCCCACTCCTTCCCGGGCCACTCCCGGGAGTGTGCGAGGCCCGCCCCGGCCTGCAACAACCCACGGGGTTCCAACTCCTCGGTCCCGGAGCCCACCCGGCGCCCCTCCCCTCCGAGTTTATTCCTCAACACGCACACAAACACACACTCCTATTTCCTTCCTGTAGGGGCGTGACGGCCACATGACCCCCACCCGTGCCCCGCCGCCAAGAACTTAACTCCTCCCACTTCTCTCCTCCGAAACGCGGGTCTCTGGGTTCGCCGGAAAGGGGGTGACAGCGACCCTCCCCACACCGACCCCCACCCCTCTACTGCCGGGCCGAGCCTCGCCCTATCTGCGCTGG